CACAAGCCACCCCTGACTCGGCGAGCTCTAGGACCTCCCAGAAGCCATGCCCCCCAGCCAATACCAGAGTGTCGTTCCCATAGCAGACGACATTCAATCCTGGGTTAAGGCTGGTCCTTAAGACGGCACCATACGCGAGGTTTCACAGAAGTGGTCCTAAGACTGACGCCTGGGGAACCCCGCATGTGACCTCCCTTCGGCAATCTTTGCCGTCTCGACCCATATACGATATGGACCTGTCGCGGAGATAAACCCCGATGATGTCCCTCAAGTAGGGAGGCAACTGGTGATACACAAGTGCCTCCCTAATCGCCCACCACGGGAGAGAGTTAAAGGCGTTGACTATGTCAAGACTGACGGCCAACGCCACTCCCCCCCGACAGACAACCTCTCCGGACAAGGAGCGGACGCGTTCGATCGCGTCCAGCGTCGAGTGTCCCTGTCGGAAGCCAAATTGGTTGTCTGATAAGTCGGGGCCCACTCGCGACAGATGCTAGCTGATATGGGTAGTGATAACTCTTTCAAAGAGTTTTGCCACCTCGCCCGGCAAGCATATCGGTCGGAACGCCGAGGGAGAATCTGCAGCCCTACCAGGTTTTTGGATAAGTACCAGCCTGGCTTCCTTTCAGCCTTCAGGGAATACGCTATTATGAAGGCAGCTAGTAAACAGCCGCCTCAGACTATTCCCTTTGACCGCTAAAGCGCACACCCATGCTCGGCCCGGGACCCATCAGGGCCCGGAGCGGTGTTGCGGGCGGCGAGTCGCTTCACGGCTCGGTCCAGCTCTTCCTCCATCACGTCTAAGTCGCCGGACAGTCGGCAGTACAATTTTGTAAGGGCCATGGGTCTCTGTCCAGTCCCTCTAAGAGCTCCTTCCAGGACCGAGCTTTGGCTTCCGCGATCGCAAAGCTAATAGCCTTTGCGGCAGCGCCGTACTCCCGCCTTACTTCAGCGATCTCCTCGGCTGTGGCTCGCCGTCGTGTCCGGGTTCTCTGGAACTGGCGGCGGGCTCTCAAGCACGCTGTACGAAGCTGCTCGAGTTCCGGTGTCCACCAGTAGTGTAAGATGTGTCTAGATATTATTATTGCTATTTTTGTGCTAAATATTAGATTTAGGCCTGTTGATGTTCATCACCAACGTCATCAACATCAACAGCTTTTACTAGCATACTGCTGGATGTAGACGTCTCCTTCGAAAGGAGGTATTGGCCTACTATACCACGCTGGCCCGACGGGTTGGTATAAGGTTTGTTTCAAGTTGTCTTTCTCTTTGAAGTGCTGTTGTCCTGCGTAGTTTGCCCCTTAGTTGGCTCTCACGACACCCACGGAATGAACAAGGGTGGTGACACTCTGTACTCTTAATCCGTCCCCACACGGACAAACATTGACAACATTAAAATTAAAAGCTAATAAACTTTAAACGAAAAAATAACAAAGGACTTGTATCACCTACCTAATCCTAATCCAAAGAAAAGATGACAGGAGAAAAAGGATGCCAAAATTTTCTAAAATAACCCCGACACGTTATATAAACAAGCTCTTCTGAGATTATTTTATTTGAACGAGTAAAATTAGATTTTTATAAATTGTGCTTTATTCTTGCTCATAACAAAACACATGTTTTTATTTTTTAAATTATAATATAATCCAGTTATCAAATAGTCATTGTTTCATTTTTGTCTATTTTACAGTAACCGATGGTTTTTACATCAATTCTCGCGATGATGAATATTTCTGTGTCTTTGTAAGTATAATGATTGTACCTTGAAGTACCGTACCAAGAAGTAAACGAAGGTTATTTAGGTCTTTAATCTATTCAGTTATTTGTAGCACACAAATCAATTCCCAAAATAGTTATTTGTGATTTGAATTGGCGTGATGAAACTTCACAGAAAATGTTGTTTTAAGTATTCTTCATAAATTGGATTTGTCGGTCTATTTATTTTAACATATAGAAGTTGTTTTGTGGTGGATGATTGGATTGTGTGTGTGTGTGTAATTTTAACAAATACATTATGTACATTTTAACAAATAAAATAAGAAAGGTTACAGTTCAGCAGTACCACACAGTACAGTATAAAAAACTATCATCATTTTCATCGTCAGCCTATTGCAGTTCACTGTTGGACAAAGGCCTCTCCCATAAATGGCGCAGCGGGACCGGGAGAGGTTAAGAACTCTCCCGGCCTGCCAGGCCCGGGAACGGGCCAGCTACCGCAGACGACTCGGGCGCCGGAGGTCGCAGAACGACCTCCGTCCTCCATAGGCGCAGGCCTGGTTTTGACAGGTAAGGCCATCTGTCACCCTAGCAGAAGCAGGCTGGGGTAAAAAAATAGTTTTGTTACTCGCTGATAATGTAGCTTTCCATTGATGAATTTTGTTTTTGAATCGGTTAAGTGGTTTAGTCGTGAGAGCGTAACAAACAAACTCATTTTCACATTTTAAAGTCTGGATGATTACTAACAATTAAAAAAGAACAAAAAATTGTTCACGACACGTACTCGTACGTTTAGACTTTGTCAACTGACATCAGCCCACAATGTATGTGCAAACAAATATACTTCAAGCTTTTATGATTACGATCATAACAGAAACATGTGTCTCGCTGAGTCATTTTATGTAAGTCGTGACCTTTTATATGACATACCAAAATATGCTGACGCTAAAGTTCTGATGTTACACATATGTTCGCATCAACCTGCTTGTATGACAGTTTAAAAATGGAATAAGTTTGTTTGAATTATTTTTCAATACTGCAGATTTATGAGAATGGTAACAAATTTGATCTTACGCCATTGTTTTCAAGGACGATGAGTATATCCTTATGAAGAGATGCAACATAAGCGAACTTTCTGATAAAATCATAAATCTTAAGCTTTGCTTTCGCAAAACTTCAAATGTGTTTCTTTGACTGCACGTATAGCGTAGTTTTTTAAGCGGCCACCTCGCTGCATGCTACTGTGCTAAGTGTTGTAGGTTCGATCCCTACGTGGGACAACACTTTGTGTGATCCACAAATTGTTGTTCTGAGTCTGGGTGTCCTTTACGTCCGCTTCATGTATGTTTGTAAAGTCCCCTGCGCCACAGGATTAATTCCTAGTGCGGAAGTTGTCTTTCGAAAAAAATGTGTAAATATAGTCTGTATAATCCAGATCCAGAATCCAAAACCAGATTTCTACACCCCCCAAAGGTTGGTTGGTAGAGAATGCCTCGGGCATTAAGCCCGCCGTTGTTCACAAGTGCATGAAGTTGTAAATTAAAAAATATATATACATATATAATCCTACATTTTATTATATTTTTAGAAACCTATACTGATGTAAGAAACCTATTGTTTGTTTAAATATGCTAAAATGGAGAACTTTCAGGCAGATTTAAATAATTTGAAATGGATGGTTGATTTATCAAGGAAGCTTATGGGCTGTACAACTTCACGTTGCAACCTTTAAGAGCGCTGTAGTAAGTATAAATAAGGATGAAACTGTAGGAAACGTCTAGTTTAGAAACTACTTATTGTAATTGAGATATTGAATTAGATACTTTGACTTCGAAAGTTTCTGCTACTATTATTAAGATTAGGTGTTACGTATGTTAATCCGTGTGGTGACGGATTAAGAATACAGAGTGTCACCACCCCTATTCATCCCGTGGGTGTCGTAAGAGGCGACTAAGGGAGTAAACTACGCAGGACAACAGCACTGCAGAGAGAAGGAAAACTTGACACAAACCCTATACCAACCCGTCTGGCCAGCGTGGTATAGTAGGCCAAAACCTCCTTTCTAAGGAGAGGCCTATGTCCAGCTGTGGACTTGTAAAGGCTGTTGATGATGATGACGATGTACGTTAATTTATTATTTAATTAGGTCCTCTGATCTTTTTTTAAATTAATTAATTGTGCTTGTAACAAGCTTTATAACTTGCTTCTACGTAATGTCTGTCGATAACTATAACAATTTATCTACAGAATAAAAATCAGTTAAAATATACTCCTTAATAGCAAACCGAGAAAATAATAATTATATAATAATAAAATAGTGTTTTATAAAATTATTATGTGCTTTATAATACTTTTTGTATTTTTATATCTCCTTGGGTAAAATATTAAAATTAAAAAGATAGACTTAATTGAACAAAATTTAAATAAAAAAACTATCCTGGATAAAGGACGCCAATCTATTTCAAGAACTGAAAAATTCTCCACGTTTAATATTTTATTTTGCTAACAGACTCGCTGGGTACCATTAAGTCGGTAAGGCGAATAAATTAACTGCATTCGTTCCAGCGGCCAGTTTCTTTTAACGCTGATGCAAGAGTTTTCACATAAAGTTTAAAATAAATCTCTCTCTTTTCATTTTTAAAAATGTTCAGATGCTCATTTATAATTTTTAATGGAACTTTTTCCCCTTTTTGAGTTTTATTGGTATGTGAAATTCGTGGATGGTAAAGTAGGGACTAAATTCCATTCGCATTAAGAAAATAGTGACGCTATAGTGACCAATCAGATTCCAACGATAACTTTTTGAAACCTAATCGGATTTCAGGCGCTTGTTGTGTTTTTTTTTTGGGGATGGTACACAGTTATTTTCTTAAATGTATATGTCATAGTAAAACTATTGCTTGATTGCGTATCGTATTTTAATTAAATGGTGGACAGCTACACATTATTGAACTTTCAAACTTTCTAATTAAAGAAATTGAATCAACACGAAAAAGAAAAAATCGTGAGAAAATCTATTATAAGGACTAAACTACAATATAATACACTAGTTATACCCTGCCACCCTTTGCTACGGCATATTGTGGTGGTATTGATGAGAAGTGAGGACCAAAACTGACGCAAAAATTTGATAAAAACATTTCTTGAAGCGGTTTATAAATCATATCAAAATTTGGGGTTAATCGGTGCAGTACTTTTTGAGATTTTGAAGCGTACACAAACCAACAACATTTTAATATATTATTATAGAGATACAAGAAGATATATATAAAAACAAAACTTACCAACAACTGAGAGAAACATCCGATGACCGATAGGTGGCGTGGTGCCTACTTGGCACTCGTAAATGCCGGAGTCACGCCGTTGTGGAAACCTTATCTGTTGAAAAATATATATAGGTAAAAATAACAATATTATTAATATTCTAAGATTTTTTATGGGACTTTTCCCTCCCACACGCCTACCACAGTAACTCCTATACACCAGGATCAACAGCAGTAACCTATGAACACTCCGAGTTATGATACTTGTGAAATCTCAGGACAAAGAAATTTAACTGTCTTGAAACCCGCAACGCAATTAATCAGAAGAGAATTAGAGAAGTTGGAAATATAATAAATCCACTTCCCTCCTTAGCAAAGTGGGAGACAAAATGAATTAAAAAGGCATACACCTTTTTTTTAAACAGGGAACCACGACAACGGCCACATAATGTTACGGGTCCTAAGTGAGCTATATAATAATATTCTGAGATATATATTATTATCGTTGGAGAAAGAACCCGGTATTAAGCAACTCTTTCGTCGCTCTTCACTGAGTGAGTCAGGTTGCCCAACTTGCCCACACCCCTGAATTCTGAGGGGAGAAGGACCCAAAGGACCGCTAATCACATGTCACATGTGCGTCATAAGAATAATAGGCATAGACACATATCCATGTATATAAAATATTTTTACTGACCAAGAATCGCTTTCGCGCTCCTTGAAGTACTTAATAATAATAATATTCTACCACATTCACACAACTTTATCTAGTCCCAAACTAAGCAGAGCTTGTTCTATGGCTACTAGACAACTGATATAAATACATATATACTTTTTTTTTGTAAATACATACATATTATACATAGAAACACCCAGACCAAACCAAACATTAAATGTTCATGCACACAAATGTTTGACTTGAGCGGTTATTTTTTTAATGGTTTGAGCGGAGTTTGACTTGACTTATAACTCAAATAAACAGAAGTGTTAGATCTAAAGGATTAGCATGAGGTACTTTCACTATCATTATTTGTAATGATAACAGAAAATAGAAGGCTTCTATAGCAATTAAAAAAGGGATGATGATATCTATACAATTCAAATTACCTTTGTTAAAAATCAGAGGTGTTTGGAAAAAAACAACCTCATCCTAAATACATAAGGTTCCATTTACGTTACATCTCTCAAATTTGTGGTTTACTTTTGTGTTTTACCTTACAATTTAAGGTAAAATACATATTATATACTAAATTATGTTTGGATTGTAAATAAATTGATATTGGATGGATGTCGTATTTAACATGAAAGATTCAAAGTAAGAAAATTGAAAATATGAAAATAGTAAGGAATAAAGGGAATAAAAGACAGAAAAATGGTTTCTTGAGGTTTCTGTTCTTGAGGCGTCTCCAATCACAGGATGGATAAAGAAATATGCGACAAAACCTTATCAGGAGGAACATCAGTATCAGTCCTGTTCCGTTGAATTGAGCTATTTCTTACCCTAGCTGCCTCACCATTATTCTGTTTAATTACCCCTTTACCCCAGTCCATGAGAGTTTCTGTCCCTGTTTCTCCAGTTTCTGAGAGGAAAAATAGCCTAAATTACTTCTTATATAGACAACTACTTGGTAGTAAAATATTATAAAAATCGATCCAGCCGTTTAGAAGATTACCCGGAACAAACAGACAGATAGACAGACAACAATATTTAAACTGGTTTTTAGGCACAGGTTACCGTGCAAATACCTGAGTGAGCAAGAAAAAATCCTATTATTTTGACATTACTAACAGAAACTTCAATGTTATTTATTTGTATAGAAGATTTATACATAATTCATATGCCGAATTTTGGACAAAGAAAAAGAATTTTAAAAGAGAAAAATCTTGAGTGTTGAATGGCTTTTTCTCTTTGTTATAAATAGAGGTTAACATTATATTATATATTGGAGGCTGGCTGATTTTCAATTACATAATACAGGACAAAGGGCATATTGTATAGTGCTGTAAAAGATTACGCTCGTGTTTAATATGTTCAGTGACCCACAACACTAAATTGTGGTAGCTAGTATGTCTACTACTTTATATACTTGTATTATATACATATTAATAGACAACTCCCGCATTAGGAATATATCCTGTGTCACGGGGGACTTTACAACAAACATGAAATGGAAACAAGGAACACCCAGACTCAGAACAACAATTTTTAGAACACACAAAGTGTTGTCCCATGTGGGGATCGGACCCACAACACTAAGTGTTGTAGTAAGCGGCGTGGTGCTTAAACCACTACGATATCCGTGCAATTGTAGTAATATATATTTCCCTTAGATTCCATGGTCTCACAGAAAACCGATGTTAAACATTTTCATTGCTTTTCAACAAATAAGTAATAATATTATTTTATTGAAAAGCTCTTCACAAGTTTTATACAATATAATCTTATATATAAAATTCTCGTGTCACAATGTTCGTTCCCGTACTCCTCCGAAACGGCTTGACCAATTCTCATGAAATTTTGTGTGCACATCGGGTAGGTCTGAGAATCGGTCAACATCTATTTTTCATACCCCTAAATGGTAAGGGCTAACCCATCCCTATTTTTTTTTTGTTTTGCAATACATTCACACAACGCCATTTAGCTCTAAACTAAGCAGCGCTTGCACTATGGGTACTAGACAACTGATATTAATACAATTTTTTTTTTGCACTATGGGTACTAGACAACTGATATTAATACAATTTTTTTTTTTGTAAATACATACATATTATATACATAGAAACACCCAGACCAAATCGAACATTAAATGTTCATGCACACAAATGTTTGACTTGAGCAGGAATCCAACCTGTGACCTTTGGCGTAACAGTCCGTCACACAAATCACTACGCCACGCAGCCGTTGTCACAATGGCAGAATTACTCGAAACCTAAAGCTTGCCTTTTTTACTCTATCTATGATATGTTTTAATATACCTTTGGATTGAAAACAGAACTGACACTGCCATAACTATTTTCAGACTCAACTTAAGTTCTACATACAATTTTAAGAAAATAATTTAAATTTGTATGGGATATGGACAGGAATTATATTAGAACTAATTTAAAATCAATTTCTTTTAGAAAAATAATAATTTGTACCTTCAATATCCAGTCTTCGGTATGAGGGTTGTGGACACTGATGAATCTCTGGTCAGATGTGTACGTCATTCTTCCTGACGTCAGGAGATGGATATCACGATGTCGAATCCAAGACACCTAAGAAATAAAAAAAAGGAACTTTTAAAACACAATTATCTTCAATTTTTTATCAATATTTGAAATGCAGATTTAAGTTTGTTTCAACTTCCACATTTAACGAAACGGAAAGATTCTTCAGTATCATCGAAGACACATTGAAGTAAGGAGTAACTACCAGTATTGTATCGGGTAACGTAAATTTTCACGCCGATGATTAGATATAAAACTTTCCAACAACAACTTTTGGTCTGCGGTCCACCAGATTTGATCACTTTGCCTGGTCGAAGGATCCTTCCTATGTGTTAGAGGGCTATGACACCCGGTCCTACACAAATTAATTTGTTTTTTACGCTTACGCCTACACTTTTTTTAAAAATCATCATCAATTCTTTTACACATATTGTCTAGAGTAGGGAACCTTTCCTACATTGTATCATAGTCGAATAAAAAACTGCGTAAATTCACGCGTTTGAACCCGAGGGGCAATGCTCGTCAAAATATAATTGCGGGATGTGCCTCAGACATGAGGTACGGCAGGGAGGACTCCAGAAGTCGCCGATGCGTTCCTGGAGCTCCTCCCGACTGCCGAGGTAGGCCGCCGCGGGGTTTAGTGGGTAGACCGGTTCTCCGGGAGTCCCACACACGCCCTACGTTTCCCCAACGGAGGGTATGGTGCGAAAAGCATTCCCCGCGTGAAAAAAAAAAAAAAAGGTAAACCTGAGTTAATAAATAACATAAATACATGTAAGCTACTGCTATTAACTTCCTTTAATCTTTTTGGGAAAACGTACAAACATATTATATATATGTGCTCAAGTTTCTTTCTCCCTTAATTCTCTTTTCACGTACAATATTATACAACAGTCTTATAATTAATTTTAGTACTCCTTTACAGGGCTCGATTTATTAAATGGGATTTAGTATCGAAATTGGTTTTAAAACAAACATCGCACAGGCAAAAGTCTATTTCAACATACGAATGTAATTATCAAATAACTGTATTAGTGCTTCAAGACTTGTTCACGTTCTTAGTTTCTGTTTTAATGAGCTCTACGTTCATTCTCATCAAATACAATTTTATACAAAATACGAGTACATTTTCTTCTACAAATGTCAAAGGGTATGACCCTATTATAAAGTTTTCATGGGGTCTTTCTTATTACCGAAATCTATTGGGCCTATTCTTTTTTTTTTGCAACTACAACAGAAATCGTTAAGATATAATATGAACATCAATGAGTGTTTTTTTATTGTAAGGAAGTTATTGGGTTGAAAGATGAACAAGGAGAAAAAAATTGTAATAGTTTAAATGAATTTATGAGGCTCCTATGAGTGTTTTTTTGAGGTAGCTTCTTTTTAGTGAAAAAGAGCCCAGTATAGAGGTAGTTGTAACTGGAGATATAAAATATGAAACGTCTGATAAATCATGATAGCAGAAGTTTTGCAAGCAGGACTCGCAAAATGACGATCTACTGCTTCTGCGTACCCTGGCTCGGAATACAACAGTAGCTAACATTTGTTTTATATAAAATGTATTATATTATCCTTTTTACGGAAGTAACTTATCTCATTTTAGGAAAAAATAAAAATTACGATAAAAAGAGTGTACAAAACAACTAATCTAAAATACAAATTAGTATTCCGTGAGAGGACCACGCTTTGGCAAATATAGGCCGGCTTGATTGTAGTGATACCATGGCGTCGCGAAAAACAGGGATTAAGCAATTCCTTGACTGTATTTCACAGAGTGAGTATAGTGAGTATCAGAGTCCCAGGCACTTAAAGGCCTGCAAATCACTCATGAGATTTAAAACAAAACAAAAAGGTTGAAATCTTTTTGATAAAAAGAATTTTGATTGATTTTATTACCATTTATCTTTGTCTATGACGAAATCACAATCACACGTGAAATCACTGTGACTAACCCTAATCATTTCATCAAATGAATATGTTTTAAAAGTAGCAATAATTTTCATGTCTACTTGTGAGTCTAGCGTTGTAGGTTTTCATAAGATGGCAGTATTCAGGTAACCGATCTGCTTGATTGCCTTCTAAACCATAAAAGAATTAATTTAAATCGGATTTACTGTACTGTTCTCTACATCTCTGCTTCATATAGCTTTTGGTGATTGAATTATAGCCAGTTTGCTTTTACTCGGACGGAAAAAAGTTTTATTGTGGCGTTGTTGCTACCAGTTGATTGAATATTTTTAACAAAAAAACTTTTTGATTGTGTGTAAAACAACTCTGTACGTTTGAATAATCTCGTTTTTCCGCTGGTTTTAAATTGAAATTTGCACTGACAATTGTGATGTTGTTATAAGCTGATATGAAAATTTACACTGATATTATAGTACACTGTAATATAGTATATGTTTATCCCAGTGATAGATATTTTCAACAAATTATTTGGCGCGATAATCCATCATCTTGATTACAAGCCTATTAGCTGAACATCGTCACTTACGGCACGGCTAGCGCTCCATACCTAGCAACTCGGTGTCTTCGACAATTAGGTTTGGAGTGTATTGACCACAGAGCCTCCGAGGCTATTTTACACGATTTCTACGTAGATGACCTTTTAACGGGAGGAGATGACCTTGAAGAGGTCAAAGCGTTACGTCATAAAATTACTATTGTATTGTATGTGACTATATAAATACATCGATTATTACGTGAATTAGCTACTCTCACTTTAATTTTACATCACGGATGACGTATTGGTTTAAGCAGTTACCTCGTAGCTTCGGTGCTTCATTTCACGAATGTTTTTAAACTGACACTGGATATATTCATAAAGAGTCGTGTTTTTGAAAAAGCAAAAATATTACATTAACTATAAACATAATAGTAACTTAACTGCTTTTTCACATATTTGCTTGTACTGTTTGCTATTCTTTGTGCTTGAATACTGTATTGCCAAACTTGACTGACAGACTTGAGTTGATAAGGCTGATAGGATAGAAGAACTTTCCAAAAATACTTTTGACCCGATAACCTTTACGAAAGCTTCGGAAACATTGTGGAACATACTGGAATGTTTGATTTTTCTGGAACGTTCTCTTTAGGTTCGCTATTGGCGACCATAACAATATCACTTTAAAAAATTCGCAATCAGTTAATTATTTTCTTAAATTGCATTTGAATTTTATTTGTATACTTTAAATTACATATTGAGATCTCACAGTTTGAACAGAATTTTATAACCCCTTACTATCGCAATAGCCATGGAATTTCGTAAACAGGGTCCTCAAATTAATCGCCTTTATCAAAGATCTGCTTTAAAAAAAAAAGTTAAATGAATGTAAATATAATTATGTCAAATATAATTATGTTAAATATAATTATGTCACTTTAAAAACAATAAAGGCTGTTGATGATGATGATGATAAAATTATCATCATCATCAACAGCCTTTACTAGTTCACTGCTGGACATAGGCCTCTCCTTAGAGAGGACGTTTTGGCCTACTACACCACGCTGGCCAGACGGGTTGGTATGGGGTTTGTGTCAAGTTTTCCTTCTCTCTGCAGTGCTGTTGTCCTGCGTAGTTTGCTCCCTTAGTCGCCTTTTACGACACCAACGGGATGAATAGGGGTGTTGACACTCTGTATTCTTAATCCGTCACCACACGGACACTCTATTTTATGTATCTATTAAATTACAAACTAAGGCAATAGGGTGCAATTTTACATTGGCAAGAACCCAGCTTCTGCCATAAGACATAAATAAACAACATAAGTAGTACAGAAAGGACAGAAAGCCAAAAAATCTCGTTAATTCTTAAGTCCGATGTAAAAAGGCGGCTGATGAAAATATTATCAGGCTAATCGGAAGAGGATTTGGTTTTAAATTATGGTTTTAAATTATATAAGGAAAAATAGTAAAGAAAGCTTGGTGCAATTAATCAGTGTCATGCTTACAAAAGATATTAACACACAAAATATTTTTATACGTGCGTTGCAAAAATATAAAAGTTACAGTGACGGCTTTTATTAATTCTGGTTTATTATTTCAGTTTGCAAACGTACTGATATTAAAACATATTTTTGTATCATTGCTGATTAATTGGGAAAGGTTTGGGCAAATGGAAAGGATGAAAAATTTTCATTTGCTTATTCCCTAAGGGAATAAAGCGTGAGCATAGATATGTATGTATGAAAATAAGCACACTCCAAATTTTAAGCTAAACTTGGTTTCATTATCATAAGTAATTACAGGGTTTGTAAGGAGTAGTAAGCTATCTCCATTATTAGACATGCTTGTTGGTCACATTGTAATTGTACAATATCACATCACATCACATCAACAGCCTTTAATAGTCCACTGCTGGACACAGGCCTCTCCCCAGAAAGGAGGCTTTGGCCTACTATACCACGCTGGCCAGACGGGTTGGTTTAGGATTCGTTTCAAGTTTTCCTTCTCTTTGCAGTGCTGTTGTCGGCTCATACGACATCCACGGGATGAGTAGGGGTAGTGACACTCTGTGATTCTTAATCCGTCACCACAATATAAAAATATCTATTGACAATGCGTTCACCTGATCATTTCTAGTATTGTTGTTTTTTTGACACTCTTGACTTAGCCTTAGCCCCGACATATAATAAAGAAAATAGTTTATGAAATTGCTATTTCCAAATACATTATCACAAATCATTTCATAAGCCATCCCAAATTATGACCAAAGATTTGTCAAAAACTAATGTCATAACTTGAATAATGATTTGCCATTACTGAGTAAATTATCCTTTTTATATAGGTTGACAAAAATTGACTTGTAAACAGATACACACATATTGTTAGATTCTGTTTGTCATATATATTACGTTTAGTTTCAAAGGACATAGTTGAGAGATGTTAGAATTTTTATCATCTATGTTTCATTATGTTAATTAGAATGGAATTTGATTGAACGCATTTTACTTTAATATTGGTAAATTTTAAAGCTAGCAAGAGTGTTTTAATGCATTGGTATGACCTGATTGAGTTAATTAAACCCAAGCCATTGCACAAGGGCATCAGATAAATATTAGATTACAACGAATAGCAATACAATAATAAAAAAAAAATAGAAAAAAAGTTTGCAAACTCCTCGAACTGTTTCATGATCACAATAAAGTCAGGATTTTTTTCCCATTTATGAGTTTCTATAAAGGATATAAGACACCTTTTTTTCTGTGCGGTAACCCCCATTGGATACCACCCACCGGGGGTTATGTCGGACACGAACCGACCAAAAACCGCACGCCGTCTCGGGTACCAGTAGCTGGGGAACCAGGTGTACCCTAGGAAGAAGATTCCTGGTATCCCGACGGACGGACGGAAGAAATCTTAATTAATCCATAATAATTTAAACAGTACATTTACAAATGCATCAAACACCTAAAATAACTTTTGCCCCAGTGTTGATGATTTATTAACCTCATTAACAGTTACCGACTTAATAATAAACTTACAGTGCTGCGGTTTGGAATTCAAAGCGTATTATAATAGGATTAAATAACGAGGACCAACTAATGGTTTTAATAACGTTGCAAAAGTACGCTAGAAAATTAATAAGGGCTCTTGATAAATATAACGCGAAGCTTTACGAAATTGTGCATGAGTTTCATGAAATATTCAGACGCTGATTAATTTCGTTCTGAAATTACTTTTGCACTTGATAGCTACAATACACACATATAATATAGATGATTTCACTTTCGTATTTTTGTATTATATAGAAGCCAAATGACCTGACAGTTCACTATTGACAAGTGGTGACATTGAGACGGGAGTATGCTCTTTTCTGGTGGGGTTAAAGGTCGTATCAATCGTAAACTTCCGCAGGCGACAAATGGTCCGACAAATTGTTATGCGAGATAGAATCGGACATATTGTCAGACATGAGTATCCTCTTATTTTGAGTTCAAGTTGGACAAATATGGGCTGGTATACTTTACTAACCTTAAAGAATATTCGCACAGTTACAATGTACCACTAATGTGGTGTCAGTGTTTTAATTCATTATACTATTATTATGATAGGACTATACTCCAGGACATCTTTATATATTATGCAATATTTTAGGCCTGATCCTGCTACCATCGACCGACGTACGACCCGAAGCGGTGATGGCGGCTTTGCTCCGGCATATTAAACCTCTAATATTCATTTAAATGATATGTTTTAAGCAAGTTTAATCTACATTAAATGCACAACATATCTAATAGACTTAATTGGATAAGAAATAATAATGTACTGTTTAAAATAGCTTCGTAAATAATCCATATTTTTTTTGTAATATTTAAAAGATTAAAATGGTTACTGTGGGTTATACTTAGGAGATAGACATATACCATCGCGGACTTTTTTGTAGATCTTTTAAGATATACTATTCCATAGTACATTTTTTTGGTTAATCTCTTAAGAATTAGACAGCGTTTGCAATGTTAGCGCGCAAAACCATTGTTTTTAAGGCAAATCTTTAAAATTCTCGGTTTCTTTGCTACCAGTACTATGCATGTTTTAAATTTATAAAATTTTCTCTTGAATAATTAGTTATTAGTAAAACCCACATTAAAATCTGATGGGTAGTTTAAAAGATCTAAGCGTCCAACAAAAAAAAATACATACAGTGGAACATAGAACCTCCTCCTTTTTTGAAGTCGGTTCAAAAATGAGACTTTATTTTATACTGTGTAAAGAAGTGATAATTTATGATATTTGGCAGATTAACGCAAAAAGTCAAAGTAATACGACTAGTTGTACAAGTTGAATGTAATGATTTCAGCTGAAATCAGAACTTTATTAAAATACAATCGATAATTTTATCTATTGTAATTTTGTCAGCGTCCTTCCTGCAGCACGCAACGGTAAAGACCAATTTCATGTATTCCAGAAAATAGAAATAAAAGTTATTAATACTCACCGTTCTATTTCCAAGCTCATGGACCCTGCAGTTGAGTTGTGCTGTTTTTCCAACCAACGCTGTTACGTTCTTAGAATGAGCAATATCAAATCTCGGCCCTCGTTGTGTCAAGCCAAGGTCCACATCAGTGTAGTCCAGCTCAGGGACGCCGTCTGTACCAAGACCATTTGTATTGTCGGTGCAACCTGACAAAGAGAAAATGAAATACATAAATTTTAAAACAAACTTGTCTCAACTTAGTTGTATAGTAAGTGTAGACGTAAAAGGTTTGCCATACACTCCATAGATATCGTAAATTTTCGTGTGAAATTTATGAAATCCCCAATTAAATTCGGTAACAAAAATTCCTCATTATTATATGGAAAATATTGTTTTCAATTATTATAGTATATATACTTATTTATCAATTATTCGGCATAGTTTTTATATTTTCCAAACAGAAATAATAATAATAATTTCACACATCCCACACACGGCCGTCCGATCCCAAACTAGGCAGAGCTTGTACTATGGTAACCAGACTGCTGATAAACATAACATAGCTACTTATGTATTTCTAAATACATTCATATTATAGATAAATTACACCCAAACACATAATTATAATTCTAGATTAAAAATTGGAAGAGATTTTTATTAAGGCATAAAAATCTAAACAACTTCAGGTGGAATACCAAACAGCTCGTTTTATTAAATCACGTAGATTCTATGTATATTTTTTTACTCTACTCGTCAACATTTTTATATAAATATCTTAGCTTCTGAGAGAAAAAGGGTATTAAATTATCACACTTGTCACGTCCTGACAAGGAAATGAATTTGAAACGCTTTAGTATGAACGAGTTTGCAGATTCGTTGACTAAATTATGTTCCCTCCAACTTTAGGGATGGGACAATAGTGAGTTGAAAATTATAAAAAAAACAAGTATAATTATTTTCCGATTTGTTGATGACCTAAAGAATCAAAAGTTCCGAGAATGGTTACCATTTGTCTATTTCAAAAACAGTTTTTTTCTTGTATAATTAAACATTTTATTTGGGATGATTTATTTCAAAAACATAAGGGGTTAATGAGAGATTTGGTCTCGTATTTTAATAGAAATTAACAGGTTATAACAGAAAAAGTACTCAGATGGTGTTTTTGAACTTTTGTTGTTCGCTATATATGGATGGCAACAATAAATTTGTGTATACGTAGGTACTAGGTGTTTTCTTGCTCTGACTTTCTTTCAAACAAATGTTAAATAATCTACAATAATTACACAATGAACGCAAACAAAATTTGATCCTTTCCAATTTGATTTATGGAGAATCAAATTGAATAAAAATATAGATACTGACACTGGAATAAAAACATCAAATATCTGTTATTGGCTATAATCATGATTCGTGTCTAGTAGGTAATATAGTTCAAAATCGATAAACATTCATTGCATAAGCTTTTAAACTGCTTCCAAGCTTCAAAATTTACTCGTATATCCTAATCCAGAAGCAACTTTCTCCTTGCGTGGTACCGGAATGTAATTAAAAAACATAATCTGTTATGTAACTCACACGTCGTCACCAGTGTACGTGATGATATATTATTTAAAATCAGATGTGGTTGGCAACGAGGAAAAATTCAATTTACAAAACCTTTCCTTGTTACGTAATTTTTAGTGCTTTGTTAGGCCAATAGTGCATAAGTAATAATATAGTATTAAGACGAATAGTGACTATCATTAACTTGGTCATATATCTAATCATTCCTTTTTTTTTAAACTAAGCAATAGTTAAAGAAATGTATTTATAATTAATATTTACTGTTTTTTTTTAAACACTCAAGTTCTTTGAAAAAAATCTTAAAAGAGATTCTAACAAGTAGAAGTAATAGGCACATAACCGAGAAATTTGATAAATATAAAATTAGTTTTTTATAACAAAAACGACAATTTTTTTCAAACTTTAAGTTTTTAAACGTTGCCATTAAAAGACTGTTTGAACCCTTTCTAATTTCTATTAAAGTACAAAATTTAATAAAGTTCTCAAAGATTTCCGTTGTACCTGCATCTAAATAAAATATGTTGTTTTTCACAGTCATTTCTTTAGAGAAAACATAGATTGGGGTGTTCTTTGTGTCCCTTTCATGTATGTTTGTAAAGTCCTAGTGTATGTTCCTAATGCGGGAGTTGTCTGTTTACAAAAAAAAAAGTCTAGTCTAGTGTCCGTGTGGTGACGGATTAAAATACAGAGTGTCACCCCTCCTATTCATGGTGACGGATTAAGATTACGCAGTGTGTGTCGTAAGAGCCGACTACTGGAGCTAACTATGCAGGACAACAGCACTGCAAAGAGACGGAAAACTTGAAACTAACTCTATACCAATCCGTCTGGCCAGCGTGGTATAGTCGGCCAATACCTCCTTTATAAAGAGAGGCATATGTCCAGCAGTGGACTATCAAAGGCTGTTGATGTGAGATTTTAGTATCATCATCATCAGCCTATCGCAGTCCACTGCTGGACATAGGCTTCTCCCATTGCACGCCACTTACATCAATTTTGAGCTTTTAGTATACAAAATTATATCACAAATAGTAAATAAAATGTTACTGTTAAAAGTACTTTAATTGTCACAGGCTACGCAGTAAAGGCTTATGTTCAGCGCTGGGCATTCATATAAAGCTATATTACATTAATGTATTGGACCACAGATGAACCACGTTGTCGAGTTATTATTAGCAATGTTAGCATGTTTTAGATGTCATGTGGTTTTGTTTCGGGCAGGTTTCTAGTGTTATAGTCGCTCACAATTAACAGCAATATTCTACTGTTAACTATAATAATAATAACTTCACACATCTCACACACGGCCGTCTGATCCCAAACCAGGCAGAGCCTGTGCTATAGTAACCAAACTGCTGATAAACATACTTAATATATTTCTCAATACATACATATCATAGATAAGTTACAACCAGACACAGAACAAATCATCGCGATATCACACAATGCACAGATGGTGTGGCGGCGTGGCGCCACACCATCTGTGCCATTCTATGTCTGGGTGTTCTTTGTGTCCGTTTCATGTATGTTTGTAAAGTCCCCCGCGACACAGGCATGTATTCCTAATGCGGGAGTTGTCTTTTTAAAAAACAAAACAAACAAACAAACAATTATTTTTACGGGATTCACAATTTATTCATACTCTGTCTAAAGCATGATGCTTAAAACTCTTAAGATTTAATGCACTTTTATTATAACTGACATAAGTATTCAAAACTGCTGATCACATCAACCAAATTAAACTCGGCTTTATTCTATTTTTAGTATTCAAAGCACATCACTACTGCAATTCGAATTACAACGTAATTTTTCAAACTACCTAATCATTTGAATTTGCTCACGTAACGGTTGTAAATTTTAGAGTTCGGGACACAAAAGAAATTTAAATTTAGTATGTTAATTACTTTTTAATGAAGCAGTGTTGGGGTAAAATATTAGTATGTAAGTTAGTTCTCACTTCTACTAACTAGTTCTTAATTAAGTTTTTAGTAAATTTGCAGTATTTGTAAGATTTTAGAAGGTGTAATTAATTAGTAACTTTTCAAGTTTCAGTTTGGTTTTCTAGTATGTGTAGGAACTAAATTGTATTAAAAGTAATGTTAAAAGTATAATAATATGTTCTAATAGGTATTTAAGCTTGGAAATCTAATGAAAATGCTGTGAAAAACGATAAAAGTTATTTGTAAAAAAATTCATTGAGGCAAATTTTAAATTTTCTACTTTAAATAGATTTCTCTGTAATTCATACCAGCCTATAAAAAAAGTGACTTTTTAACATTTTCTTGGAATTAATATTTAATATTTTCGGACATCTGACACACAACGCCATCTAGTTTCAAACCAAACTCCGAAACAAATATTCGCAAATCATACAGACATTTGGTCCGACCGGTCCGAACCCGAGACCTCAGCACAGCAGTCGCATTAACTGCAACTGCGCCATCGAGGCTGTTTTATATTCAGGTGGCCATATAAAGGTGAGATGGAGGATTGTTCTATAGACTAAAACATATTTAAGAAATTCATTTTCTTGAATAGAACGGCTTGAGACAAGCCGAGACTAAATCTAAACAATTTATTTAAATTTGGAACTTGAGCATTCATTTATTTTTCTTTTGTGTGAAAACTTTTAATTTAAGTCAAAATTAATAGTGCCTATTTTGATCTGACACTCTTTTGTTTTTGATAGTTAACGGTCTTCTTCTTAAAAGTAATTGAGGGTGGCCTACGTAGAGCACTAGATTTCCTATATGGTAGAAATAGGCAAGCTCAACCGGAATAAAACCTGGTGCTCACAGTAGTTTTAACTTTCCCAATTTTCTTCTGATTAATTTCGTTGTGGGTTCCAGGACAGTTTTATTTTTTCTTAAGACTGCTCGAGTGTCATAACTCGGTGTGTTCGTGGGTTGTTGATCCTGGTGTACAGGAGTTACAGTAGGGGGCGTGTGGGAGGGATAAGTCCCATAGTAGTTAAGCAGAAGTGAAAAAACCCTAAAGAAAACCTTATAAAATTTTGCCCTGCCCGGGAAGCAAACCCACTGCTGCGTGTTTTTTTAAATTTCACGGGAACGAAATCGCGGGTACCAGCTAGTATTAAATTAGAAGATAAAAATATTCACACTGTCATTAATATTATATTAAAAACAATGTGTAATGTATTCTATCTCATTCTCTCAAGGACTTAATCCTATACATTTATGTGTTTGTTTCTTTATCGTGACGCATTTTCGTTTCATTGAGTTAGGAATCACAACGATTCTAAATAAATTTCACAAAAAATATGTTGTGTATTTTAAAGATATTTTTTTGCCGGTAAGTAAAGGCTTAATTTTGAAGTTATTGACTGGCGTAGATAGTTTATCCTACACACATTACATGGCATAGAGTTATAGGCAAAAATAAATGTTATGAGGCATGTATGTTATATATTAAGAATGAATCACATCATCAGCTTTTAATAGTCCACTGCTGGACATAGGCCTTTCCTTAAAAAAGACGTTTTGGTCTATTATACCACACGCGCCAGATGGGCTGGTATTGCTCCCTTACGACACTCACGTGATGAATAGAGGTAGTGACACTGCGTTATCATATTCCGTCATCACACGGACTAATAACAATAATAAATACAAGCTGTACATAA